AAGTCAACCGGGGTCACCAGTTGGTCAGCCAATTAAGTTAAAGACTACAAAGAACCAGTATGGTTCACATTTTATCTGTTTGGTACGAGACTTCATAGGTCATCATCTGAGAGATGACTGTGTCGTAATGTTCTAAATAAGGGCATGTAGCTAAGGATCCTGTTAATAATTTAATTCATGTCTGGTGCTTGTAAACGTGTAACCCAACAATAAATGTAACTCAACTTAACTGTGCATGTAAACGTTCAGCTTAGAAACCAAGATAACACCACCGTTAGCTTTGAAGAGTCAAACAAACCAATCAAACAGCAATGCTAGCATTTGGCTACTTACTACCTGTGATACTAAGAGCTGGCTGCCTGTAATAAGTGAGCGCAGTATGTTGACCATAAACTGTATATAGAATGGACGCCGTCTGCCTCCTCATAAGGTGAAGCCACCGTGAAAACAGTACCCTCTAACGATGGGCTGCAGTATAGGTCATAAATCCTGCCTCCTCCAACAATCCCTATGGACTTATATATATATATATATTTATTACACAGGATTTTTCTTGCAACTTTGACATGTGGTTACTGTATGACTGGTTTGTGCTCAAGTCCTCTTTTTTCTGTGCAGCTTCTTTTTTTAAAAGTTATTAGGGGGTACATGTTTTCTATGATTGACACTTGATACAGCCAATGGGTGTACAAAGATTGTGTAGCTCACCCAGGGGATATGTTGTTTGAGCCGAGCGTCATCACAGCGACTCTTGGCGACTCTCCCACCGAATGTGTACGATGCTACTGTGTAAGTGGTGGAGTGCGTACAATGCTACTGCGCAATGTTGGTTTCAGGAAGTGGAGAAAATCCTGGAAATACAGAGAGCAATTCAGCTTCAAGTTGGTATAATGACGGAAGCAATGAACCAAGTCGTCAATAGTAAATACAGTCTATGATGTTGACAATGACTTGCAACAAGGAGTGAAGGGGGTGGTACTAGTCTTGCTAACATTAGCCACAGTCAACAAACTAATTTGACATTGTTCCCCCACATACTTAACCTTATAATTTAACAGTTACTCCCAATTTGGACAACTAACAAATTATTAGCTACAGGACATTCTTAGTAAATCTGAGGTCATGGTTTTAAGAAAAAAGGTTAACCAACAGTTTTTTTCCCACTGAGATTTTACTGCCAACGTTGTACAAGTTGTGGTATCTGACACTCGGTCCTGTTTTAAATTCTCACAAAGCTTTTATGGAGACACTGATTGGATCTGTAGTCTGCTTGGAAATGGGATTTAACTCTATCATAAAGCTACAAAACCCGAAGTTTGCTCATTCCAATGACTAAAACCTGCTCTAAAGGAGAAGTAAACACAAGTTAAGTAAATGTAATTTGCTACTTTCCACCTCTGGAGAGAGGAAATGATGGATACTGAGAAAATGTTAGGCAGGTTAGCTGAGAGAGCATTCCCAGGTGTGACCACAGCATTCCCTCCATACACTTTAACAAACCACTGAGTGTGTGTGTGTGTGTGTGTGTGTGTGTGTGTGTGTGTGTGTGTGTGTGTGTGTGTGTGTGTGTGTGTGTGTGTGTGTGTGTGTGTGTGTGTGTGTGTGTGTGTGTGTGTGTGTGTGTGTGTGTGTGTGTGTGTGTGTGTGTGTGTGTGTGTGTGTTTAAATCTGAGGTTTGAAGCTCCCAGCCAAACTGGAGCTGAACCTCGGTCCTGCAGCCAATAACAACAACATCCAAGTCAAGTGCGCACACACACATGCACACAAACAGGGTCCTGGTTAAACACATTTGCACTCAGCGAGGTGACAAGTGAAGCTAAAATGATTTTCATTTGAACACACACTTTCTGGTGGAAACATCTGAGGAAAAATTCGTTTAATCCAGGGTGACAAAGTTACTGGGTCCTTGAAGGGGATTTTCAGAGTGTATTGTCGGAAAGTGGTGTGTGTTTGTGTGTTTTGGGATGTGTGAGTAAGTGTGTTGTTATAAATGTGTGTGTTAGGCCTTAAGCTTCCCTGTCCTGTATCTACAACAGCTCAGTTTCACTCTTTCCTCCTTCTCCTAATCCTCTGTCCCCCTATACCACGAGTGTGTGTTTGTGTGTGTCTGTTTGTCTGTGTGTGCTCTTGCATGTTTAAATATTGAGTTTGTGCTTGTATATCTCAACTAGCTTGTATTAAACTTTATTAGAACATAGCGATGTGTTCCTCTGAGTTTGTGTGTGTGTGTGTGTGTGTGTGTGTGTGTGTCCCTGTGAGTAATGTGAGCCTCTTTGTGACACAGCAGTTGGCAGATAGAGGGGACTAAGTTACCCAAGCTCCCTTGGGGCATCCACATTGTGGAGGGCTGTCTGGGGCACCACAGTGGTATGTATAGGTGAGTGTGTTTCTTTGTGCATGCCTGTTGATGCGTGCATGTGTGTGTGTGTGTGTGTGTGTGTGTGTGTGTGTGTGTGTGTGTGTGTGTGTGTGTGTGTGTGTGTGTGTGTGTGTGTGTTCGTGTGTGTCCACATGGAAAAACAATGGTTCTGATATGGCGGGTTTTTACAAGAGTGAATGGATGTTGGCCGAGGAGAATAAAAGAAACCCTGGTAAACCTGGGTGCTGGTCTTTAAAAAATCTGTTAAGTACTTCAAAGTACAGGGCATGACTCAACTGCCATATTGATTAGAATAGACAGCCTTGATTTTAACACTTTTCCCCTTTTTCAAGTCAGATTTTTCTCATAGAACTTTTCAAGGTCAGCTGATTCCAGATACAGTCTTTCATTGGTCAACAGACCAAAAAAAAGTTGCCAGCCTTCATCTACTATGGTCACCTAACAACAGAAATGACACACCATTTCACTCAAATTCATACATAAATCATCACTTTGGTTTCTGAGAAATCGAATCCAGACAATCTCGGATCTTCTCTGTGGGTAAGAAACACACAGTTTATCCTCTATCAGCTGCAGGTCTCAAGGAGCGAGTGGCATTTACTAAGTTACATCATTTTTAGAGTTCATAATGCAAACACAACAAAAACATAATAGTCTACAACAGCATCAACTTTATCAATTACAAAACCCTGTATCAAACTATCCCACCTTTTCAGATTTAAGAGGGACAAAACACTGTAGCCCTCAGGCCCTCCTTTCCACAATGACAGCAGAAAAAAAAACATTTGAAAGAACAAAAATGTACACAGGAGGGCCAAAGGGTTAAATCACTTGAAATGGATCAGGACTGTATTTGCTGATAAGAACGGGGTGCCAAAACTCATCAGAGTAAACAGTTCTTTTCTGCACCATCACTAGTTTTGAGAAGTTTTCCCTTTCTGTGGCATTTCATTGTGTCAGAATAACCTTTTTTTTCTTCTTGAAGTGATTTGGTTTCTCTCAGGAAGAGTTGCAGTATTGTATCCTGGCTGGTGAGTACGTTCTTAATGAAATTCTTCATACTGACTTTAAGTCAATTAAAGCTCCTGTGAACATTTTAGTGCTCCCTGTGGGCAAAAGTGGCACCACCTCTCTTTGGTAAGGTCATCCAATAGACTGTATATATGGAATGGACGCCCTCATCCTCCTCGCTGGGTGAAGCCACTGTGAGAACAGCACCCTCTGGTAACGGGCTGCAGTATAGGTCATAAATCCCGCCTCCTCCAGCAATCCCTGTGGAGCTGTGGGCAAACGTAAGAAATTTATTACAAAGGATATACATTTTTCTACCCTGTACTTGCGACATTAACATGTAGTTACTCTAAGACTGTTTTGTGCTCAAGTCCTCTTTTTTCTGTACAGCTTCATTTTTAAAAGTTATTAGGGGGTTCATGTTTTCTATGATTGACACTTGATACAGCCAATGGGTGTACAAAGATTGCGTAGCTCACCCAGGTGATACACTGTTTGAGCTAAGCGTCATCACAGCCACTTTACCGCAAAATGCGTCTAACGCTACCGCGCAAGTTGTAAAATGCGTTCAACACTACTGCGCAAGTGGTGGTTCCAGGAGGTGGAGAAAATCCTGGAAATACGGAGAAAAATCCAGGTTCAAATTCGTATAATGACGGAAGGCAGAGCCAAGTTGTCTAAAGTATATACTCGTGTACGGGTCATCCTGGACATTTTAAAATTATGACACTTACTGATGCACCTTGTGACCAATCAGTTCGCATGGATATACACATAATCATGATGCATCAAGTATGCACATCTACACTGAAAATTGTGAGAAATGCATAAAACATTTTACAGCTGTTTTATAACCTCATTATCTTATTTTCTCTCCATCCTCTCCTTCATTCTCCCTCTCCCTCTGTCTCCCCCTCTCGTCGCCAGCTCCATTCAGCCTGAGCTTGTTGTTTGAATGAGAGGAGCGGACCACCCTTGGGAGAAATGGGGGAGATCACATTACCCCCAAAAATGTAGAGGGTCTACAAAAGGGCCATGAGACATAAGGGTGAGGCAGAGAGGGAGGCGGGGAGAGAGGGAGAAATAGGAGAGCACATGAAAGAGTGCATTAGTGAGGGGGGAGGGAGAGATTGATTGGGATGGAGAGATGAGGGAAGGGATAAAGAGAGGTGGAGGTGAAAGAAAGGAGGGGTGATACTGGAGGAAACACTTTCCTTTCTTATTAAAATGATCTACGCTCATGTATTCACTGTTGTATGTACTTTCAGGAGCCGATGGAATTTTAAGCTCAGTATCTTTGCCAGTCTTACCTTTATTATTATTCTCTTCATTTTCTTTGCTTCTACCAAGAAAAACAGAAATTCAGAGAAAGGGCTGATGAAATTATTTGTAGAAATGGTTAATAAAAGGAAAAGTTACAAACTGTTATCACTTGGGTTTAGTGAAATTTTCTGTCAGTGTTATCGGGCTAACTTATTATTCATCATTGCTCTTTAAAAACTAAAAATGATTGGTGCCCCAACATGAGTATTTTAGGCTTTTGCAGGTGTATGTAAAAATGCCTTTTTTGTGTATTAGCAGCACATTTTTCCTATTCGTGGCCATAGAGTGCCATTTTGGTTGAGGTTTGAGCATGGAGATATAGACCGCTGTGTATTGCTATTGTGCGGTTGTTGCTGAAGTTTGTATAACTAGAGAAGCAAGCAGTCAGCAACATTCATCTCGAGGAAGTGTCTAACTCGGTGTTACGGTGTGATTGACATCCTTTTGAGTCGACGGCCACATCTTGATTAGGCAGTTTACCTGGGCTACTGTCCTTGTCCCAGTTTAAAAGCACCAGGAATTAATGTAATTATAGACAGAATTGTATCCACCTCCACTAAGGTAGGTTGTGACATTCCCCCTTTCAATTCCTTACTTTTGGGTGACCTTTTACATATCAAGACAATTGACAAAATACATTAGCAAAAGGCTTAAGCCAGTTTCAGTTCGTGTGAACCATATACATGGAGGAGAAAACGGATCCCCAACCATATTATCCAGGAATGTTAGTCCAACTTTGAGAAGTTTAAGTCTAGTTTCAGTCACATACACACACACACACACACACACACACACACACACACACACACACACACACACACACACACACACACACACACACACACACACACACACACACACCCCACCCGTTGTATCCATGATATTGTATGTGGAAAAAAAAAGACAGACAGACTTAAGGAAGTAAGAGTCAAACTGTAATTAAACTTCCTTTGATCCAGCTCTACGTGTGACTCATACAGATATTTTTAAAGCCTTTAGACTGCCATCACTGATCTCTATCTATTCACATCAGTGTATGCTCATTTAGTCAGCAAACAGACAGACGTATTTTATCGATGTGTTAGGTTTCCTGTATGACTCAGCAGTGTAAATGTCGATGAGAAATAATAGGGATGTATCAGGTAAAGGCCAACTCTCATTAAATTAACACCTTGAAGGTCAAAGGGAAGTGATTCACAAACAAAAGGTCATACCAAAGTTCACTCACAACAATGAATCCACCTTCTGAAGTAAAAGGAAACTTAGTTCCCTGCAGTTCCCAAACAGCATCTATAGGAGGCGCTTTGAGTCAGGGCTTTAGGGATTTATCTGCAGTCGAGCTCATCCTATCATCTTCATTGACATTTAATGATAATTATAACTTGGGTCACACCAGGGGCAGATGCACACACCTAAACACACACAGACACACACTCACACACACATACACCGCCTGGTTAAAAACATGAAGACATTAGCGGTAACTTGATGCTGAGTGAGTATTGATCTTCTCTCAGGGGGCTGAGAGAGTGAGAGAACACTAGACAGCACTTTATCACAGCACTTGACCATCTAGGCTGGCTGGGCTTGTGAGTGTGTCTGTGTGTGTGTGAGAGAGAGTGTGTGTATGTGTGTTACAGAGGAGGAAGGAGATTTAACAAATCACCTTTATATATAAAATGTAAGACATAAGCCTCACAGCCAAATCTGCCTTTTGAATACATCTTACTCCTGCACATTTTAATCTTGTACTTCATTCATCACTAACAGCTTTCTTTTCCTTCCTTCCTTTCCTCCTTCCTTTTTTCCTTCCTTTGCCATCTCCTCCTGTGAGGTCCTCACTGACACATTCAATCTGCATCCATTACATTATAAAGACCAGACTGAGGAGCAATCAGGCCTCTGTGTGTGTGTGCGTGTGTGTGAGTGTATGTGTGTGAGTTTGTGTGAGGGAGAGAGAGAGAGACCAGTGGGGATTTCATGATTATGATTGCCGAGGACACGTGCTGCTCAAATTCTTCAATGATTGCCTCCAAACGAAACACAAATGCCAAACAAAACAATAAACCCTCGGAGAGAGAGAAATGACAACATCACATACGGCACTTTGACTCCGTTTCTTGAAGATATCCAGACCACGAAAACATACGCAAAATGTGACCAAAAGGGACCTAAAAACACGGACCAGATGGAAAAACAAGCACATTAAAGCGCAGATGTATGTTTCAATGTGTGTGTTCTTGTATCTCCGCGTCACACTGTGCTAATTCAGCCAATAATTTAGTGTGCTTAAATAGTGTGCTACAGTAAATTTTCATTAGCCTCCCAGCCAGGGTTTCAGAGCTAAATATCTCCAGTATTTCTGTTAGGTATAATGTAGAAAATACTTACTCATATAAACATAAGTGCCTCAAGTTTTTTCTTTTCTTTTTTGTTTTTTTGGAGGAGACATTTTATTCCAGAGTCTGGATGCTATTGACCAGACTGAGGAAGAGAACATCTGCACATTTGTGGTATTTTTTAACCAAAGAAACATAAACAGTTGGGTTCAGTTCAGTTGGGTCAACACTGAACCACTTTCTCCTTTTAATAAAGACAATCTGAATAAGCGATAAACTGCAGCTCCTCCAGTGTCCACTTGAGGCTTGCTGCAAGAGTCAAAGACTCTCATTTAACGCTCATGTAAAAAAAAAAAAAAAAGAAGCCTGACTTCATAACAGAAAGGAAAATGTTTACTACCTGATCAAAAAATAATTTCTTTGTTCACATACTATCTGGGAATCAAATTATCTGACAATGAATAAATATCATTAATGAGTTATTTATTAAAATCATCATTAATGAATGAGTAATACAGGCCAAGAGCGATACATAGCATAGAGGCGCTTCTGAGTTTTTGGGAGGTTTGGTGCGTTGTGGAAGTTTGAAAGCAATGTTTTAATTAAGGCAAGAAATTAGAATGTTGATCAAATCTTATCAATCTGTAAGAGAAAGAAAGTTGATTTTAATCATATTTTAGTGAGTGCCTTGTGTTATTTTAGTCAAGATTTAATCAGAAGATCTCTATTTTCTTTCTTGTCTTACTTTGGGTAATATTCCAGACATCCCTGTCTTCAAAAGTCTTAATTAGATTTAATAGATAAGGTCATCTTGGCCTGAAAATGTGTTTCTAACTTATACCTCCTCCTTGTCACATTGAAAATGAATGCCAAAAATTTGTTATTAAAGTGTAAAAAATCCCATTTCATTAACTCAAATTCCCTATTGAGTACATGGAGCTACGGTTAAATAAATACTGCAAATATTTTTTAATAATTTGGGATCTGTTGAAAAATCATAAAAGATATTTTAAAGGGACTGAGGTAGATTTGTACAATAAGGTTGCTCAGATCTGTTATGATCACAGCTAACAGGTGTTCTGCCAAGTTGTGATGCCATATTAAAAAATGCCACTATATTCAGAACCGATCTGTGATCTGCCAATACAAAATAACAAAGACTGTAAGACATTGTGGCTGCCTATGATGGTGCAAAATTACCTTAGATCAATGCAATAAAAGTCAGATATTGTAGCTAATCATGTGGCCTCAAACACTGGAGCGTATCCAGTGAAGACAATAGCAAAGTGCTCACAAACTACAACACAGTCTAATGTATAATCAAGTTTTTCTGCTTTACTCTACAAAACAACAAGATGATCCTCCAGATTTAAAACCAACAGTATCTATTCAGTAGTTAATCACTCTTAAAGCAGTAATGTTCTTATTTGTAAAAGTGCTTCATTTATGAGGGTACAAAAAAACACCCCGAGAGCGATGTCAGAGGGGAAGTGGTCACCATACGGTGAATTGTATATTTCACAACACTTTCTCCCAATGTCCTAACAATCTAAACCAAGTTCACAAGCAGCGTAAAAGAAAAAACACTAACCCCCATGTTTGATCTGCTAGCTGCTCATTTTTGTCCACGATCAACAGAGTCTTAGTCTGAGCGGCTCAATCGAACCAAATCTCTCCAAGTTTTCCATAATGCTGTCCATGTTGACATGACTCCTCTTTCATTGGTCCTGCTTGTGCAGGCAGCAGCGTTTACCATGTTTTTTATGAGGGAAAACCATGTTAAACAAAATATCAATCATGGTAAAGTATTTTTATGTACTTTTAAATGTTTCTGCAGGGGGAACTTGATCCCGGGCGATCTATCTTGCATCTGAGCAATGATGTGTGTACTCTCAATCTGGGGATAGAAACCCTTTTCTTTGGTGTTTTATTTTTTTATCTTTTCTCTCAACAAATCATCATTCTCCCAACATAAACCATTACTTTAGCTCAGAGGAATGACGGCAAACCAGCGTATCCAGCTTTCTTTTCCCCCCTCAAAATCCCCTTTGAATGATCAATCATTGAATGTTGTCCACAGAGCACAAAGGAGCAGAACACGTCAGATGTTATTTTACTGAAAGTCCCATTTTTCTACTAATCAGATGAAATAAACACATTAATCTGAGGAATCTAAAAAGCGCTGGGCATTGTTTATGTTGCCGTGTGGAAATTAGTTTACGCCCTGAACATTACAAAAAGAATCAATCATGTTAAATGTCAATTATTTATGCTTCAAAAACCAAAAGCCTAATAAGCCTTTTTGTGTTTATGTGAATGTGTTAATATGAATGTGTTACTCATATATCAAGTGTGTAGAAAACAAAGAAGCTGAAATGAATGAATCAGGATAAAAAAGATCACAGCTACAACACCAGGACTTTGAACCAGAGCCAAAACAGTGAGCGAGTATCAAGTTTAGACACATTTTTGAACAATATAAGAGAGACAAACAGAAGTTAAGAGAGAGAGTCTGCTTTAGCCTGAAGGTCTGAGACAGAAGACATCCAGTCACTGTCTGAACCAGAGCCTATGTAGTTACACTTGGCTTGACTTCTGAGGGGAGGACAGTGTGTGTTTCCACCAGTAAATGTGTGTGTTTGGAGCTGGACGCACTCTATGTTACTCGATAAAAACCAGAATAAATTCAAGTGAGACATCAGAGCCTTGAATACAGGTTTCAAAATAAGAGATGGGAGATAAGATAAGCTATTCCTTTATTAGTCCCACAGGGGAAAATTTATTACAGTTTCGGGGTTCAGGTAATTAACCTCTTACTAGCAGTTAAGGCCGGTCCAAATATTACATTTTCACCTCCCAATTTGCTTAGCCAAAAAGATTCACACTCTCAATATTATCACAGTAATTCTTAAATTCCTAACAGGGAGCTTGGCATCTTTTGTGCTGTGGTAGCAGACACGCACTTAAGTGGTTACTGAGCTTTATCTGCTGCTGCTGCTTTTTCTTTTTCATCCGCCTACATTTTAAAGCTTGTGGTAACTTAACAAGAACCACTACTGCTCCCTACTATGTACTGATAAGTTGCATAGTATTATTGGACCCTTACAATGGCCCCCAGTAAGGCTGAACCACAAAGTAAGTTACAACACTAGTCATGTTTCATGCATGAGGTTTGCAGTATCAAAATAAACAGTTGATACCTATAGTCTCCAACGCAAGGAAGTTCAATCGTTAATAGATAAATAAAAAACACATAAATAGATTTGTAAGTGGGACTAATAAGGATTGAAATTAATCAATTGGAATTATATACATGTGTCAGTCAGTGTCTATTTTTCACCTCCATTAGACCTCAAATCAAGATTAACTTGTCGAGTAAAAAGGAAAAAAAAGTCATAGATATGAATGGGAATAAAATGGAGACAATCATAGGCTCTGTTCTCCCTCGATTTCCTCTTCTCCCTCACTGTGTTTTCTTCTCTGTCTTTTTTCCCCTTTTAATTTGGCCCCTCTGTTTGTTTTTCTTCATTCTTTCATTAGTTAAAAAAACATAGCAGGAATTCCAGCTGTAATACCGCTGAGATTCAGTATCAGTGCGGTGAGTCGGAGCCGTGTGTGTGAGTGTGTCAGTGGAGAAAGGAAAGAGAGAGAGAATGAGAGAGAAAGAGAGAAAGAGAGAGATACAGCAGCACACTGAGAAGTCAGGCATTGCCTCATAATGATTCATCCCTGTGCTATGTGCCCATGAATATGTAGACCTCAAACCCACACAGGTGGGTGATGGAAATACAGGAGAGATGTAATTAAAAAATTTCTCTGCTTGATATTTTTGCCTTGTTTTCTTAACCTTACTAACCATCGTCAACACAGACATCAGATAAGCCATGGTACTACGTTTCAGATTGATAACTGCTCAGTTCACACTATACCCACGCAGAGCCGGAAACTAAGCGCCTGCTTAGGGCCCTACAGCCAATAGGGGGCCCCCAAGAGCAATAAAAAAATTAAAAATAATAATAATAAAAAATGTGTGTGTGTTTCATGTATGAGTGATGCTTTCCTCTACCGTTATGTGCTTTCTGTATAATTAAATATATACTATTGTAAAAATAAAATTAAAGAAGTAAAAACATTTTAATGCTGCTGCTGATGTAGGCCTATGATTCTTACTGCTGATATGTCAAAACTCCTCTACCGTTATGTGCCTTCTGCTGTGCAATGTGCACTGAGCATCCAAAGTGCAGGTAGTTGTGGGGCAAAACAATGTCGCAAAAAAGGACATATCCTTCAGGACCAGAGAAGAGAAAAAAATCCAAGATAAAGGTATATTTGCATGTCATGGAATGTTAATCAAAGAGATTTGTGAAGGTGTGTGAATGATCGACAATCAATATTATTGGCAGGAATAAAGGGCCCCAAAATAAAATTTTGCTCAGGGCCGCATTGAGGCTTGGACTGGCTCTGTATATCACTCCTGACCCTCTCCCCATCTCCTGCTCAGTCCAATGACCTGTCAACTCCAAATAAAAGTAATAAAAGCTCAAATATATATATACTCTAAAAAAATGAAAAGAAAAAGAGATTTCTAACAGGGCTGAATGTGCTGTCATGTTCAACACAGCTTTTGATTGATATTGCAGCAGCCGTCAAGTATCAATTCACATGGTGTTTTATCGTTGTGAGTTTGATGTTGAAAGCTCATGTGTGCGCTTTGATTTTTGGAAAAGAGAGTGAAAGAAAAAGAGAAAGACATGGGAGCACTGTAAAGATAAAGATAAAAAAAAAACAGCATCTGTGAGTTAGAATGCATTAAACCATAGTCTGTCAGCTTCTCAAGAGCATATGATAACCCGCTGTGAAGAATATAGACTGCCTTTTATTTTTTGCTCTGTCCTCTGATGCTGAGGCCTGCTCCTGTGTCTGGGCCATCTACTCTGGCCACTCAGCATTGGTATGTTAACACACAAGTCAAGTAGCAGGCGCTAAATTCACCGTTTTTATTTATTTATTTATATTTTAACGACATTCTTACCTCTGGATCTCATTTTCCTCTAAGGTTTTGCTCAGTTGATGTAAAATATTGAACCTGTGCATTTAGAAAGTAATTCATTCACTGCTGGGATTAACAGGCAACTGAAAGATAGCCCTCAAAAATTCATTGGGCTGGCCTAATCTGGACATAGAACAGCATAGTGCAAGCCTACTGGTTACCTATTACTTTAGCAAAGAGGTACATGCTTAGAATATCTTCCTGTATTTCACCAATTAATAGCCCGGGCGTTTAGTATGCCAAATCAACTTTAACCCCAGGCGTTTATAAGAACCAGGCGACTATTTGCTGCAGGCCCTCCTTTTGTTTTTTTACACAGACCTGTACCAGGCCATAATTGTGATGACAGTTCCTGTCCAACATATTTTTAGTACAAAACTCACAACTTCAAGCCTAAATTTATCATCATACTTTTTATCTTTCCTCCTTCTTATGTTATCATTTATGTCCATTTGGTGTCCATTTTCCTCCATGTTGACCTTTTTCAGTGTTTTGTTGTCCTGGTCTGAACTTGAATGTGGAGCAAAAGGTGTGGTTGGAAATGAGTATCAAAATTAGGGGCTAAGAAAGTTGCTACCCAGAGTTGTTTGGCATGTGGTTCTTAATCATTTGTCATTTTGGTCCATCTTGCTTCGATACCACCATGAGTATTTAGAATCTCTCTCAAGGTTTCTCTACAGGCACTAAAAGTTTGAGCTCAGTTACATAATCTACAGCTCTGCCTCACCCACAGTCCTTACCTTTCCTCTCTCAGTCTACTTATTATGGCTGGAGGATGGTGCGGGGGTGGACTCTTGTGAGACTGTTCCTACACTTAAATATTATGTCCATAACCATAAAACATTCAATCCACATAAAGCCAAGTGTTCTGGATCTGGCCACAGTAGCCTCCCCAGGGTGGCGCAGTAAAACCGGCCCGAGACGCCATTAGGCGGGGGGAGCTGGAAGAAATACTGGACCGAGGCTGGGGCCGAATAAGAGCCAGAGCACAGCTGATGGTAAACTAATTTTGTTGGCCTAACCCCTACCTCAAAAATTCATACACAGGCAGTTCCTGTTGTGTTCACACGCAGGGTGTGCACGTCTTTGCAGGACACACACATACTGTGAGCTGAATCAAGCTGCCAAGTAAGAGGTCCCTCAGGACGCTTATTGTGGGACAAATTCTGGACACTACCTCTCTCTCTCTCTCTCTGTCTCTCCCTCCCTCTCTCTATTTTTGTCTCTTCACTCAACTGTTCTCACACACTCACTTGATCACCACCTCGATGTGAAAGGCTTACGCTCAATCATTCGCCTTGTGGGACGAAAGACTGGGAGGAAATTCAAAGAGGTGTTTTAGAAGTTCTCTGCAGACTTTTAGAGAACAAGGTGATATTTTTGTGCCATAACTGTGCTCAGCTGCAGCTTTTCGGTCTCCATAGTTTTGTTGATGAAAAAAGA